GACTGGGCGACTATGTGCGTAGAGTCAAGACCTGAGAACAAGTCTCCGGTATCTCCTTCCATCGACTCGTCAGCGGCCAGGCCAGGAGAATTTCGCAGTTGACACTGTACGCCGATCGTAGGTGGTGAGCGTTGACTCTGTAATACAGGGAGAGAAGAGAGTGCAGGGGCTATATAGCAGCTCAAATCCAGGCGTGCACGTGTTCAGAGCAGAAGGTAGGGATAATGTGACCAAGGCGCGGTGAATGTCGGGTGTAGGGTGGTTTGAATAGGGCGTGCCAACGGGCTGAAGGGCGCCGTGGTTGCGGAAGTATGGTAGCAGATACAGGAAGATACAGCGCCCAAAGTACTTGGAATAGCGTGTATCGAAGAGAAGGAAACCCTGCGCGGTTGTTAGAACAATATGATGGGACTGCTGGAAAAAGGGGGTCGCACGAAGTTTCGGCGAGGCCAGACCTGAAAGCGAACGAGAGTTGGGTGTGAGCGAAGTAGTGGACGAGGAACTTGCTAGGAGTTGAGGAGTGTAAGTACTTTTGGAACGCGCTTTTGAGAACACTCTAGGTGCGTTAGCAATGAATGGCTTGTGTGTAAGGAAATATAAGAAGACCCAGAGAGGAGCGGCCAAGGCACGCAAGTGAAGGTCATAGAACTACCATCTCTGTAAGTCTTGTAGTTTCTGATGTCATCTCGCCACTACCTTCGCAGTCATGTTTGTATTCACTAGTACAATGTCCATGAACGGATGAAAGGGAGGCTATTCGTAGGCGATCAGTCGACCCCCTTCGTGGCTAGTGGTACAGTCGCCATGGGGATGATAACTTGGGAGTGACGGAAAAAAAACTCCAATGGAAGAGCATCGCAACAGCGATACAGGGCCGTAGGTAGTGAGAGATCGTTTGATGTGGTGGAAACTGTACCCTCCAGCGAGTGGCGAGAAAGAAAAGCTGTGTGCAGTCTCTCTAACGAGGACAAACAATAGTAGACCGAGACCAAGTGAGTATATTGCAGTTTGGGATCGGAATAACAAGTCGTCAGTAGCCATCGCCTTTGTCGGTTGCGCTTGTCAAAAGATACTACCTGAGTATGGGTCATAACTGAGCTCAGGATGAGGAAGCACTGTAGACGGTTACGTGTACGGCTGAGATGATCAGAAGACTAGGTAACCTCAGAAAGATGTTTGCATCAACGATGAGCGAAGTTCAGGTCGATGTTGTGTGTACGCGCAGATAATAGTGGGACCGCGCAACCGTGGTTAGTGCGGGATGACGTACTTATGTCCCCTCACAAATCTCGCACACAACACATCCATCCCCGACACATTTATTATCCGACATTTGTGATTACGAAGCGAGCACGAATCGAGAATGCAGAGATCTAACGAATAAGACATTAATTATTATAGTACTACAGCGGCGCAAGCAGACTTTATAAACTCCAACGATCCAATCGCGTCCGCACCATCCTTCGATCACCCAGCTACAATCGCCCGGTAGAAGACTACATGAGATTGTGACTCGTCGTTCTGCCAGCACATGATGCAGCCTGGAGGTCGTTGATGCGTCCCTCGAATTCATACGACTTCGCAAGGCGTACCGGGAAGACGACAACCCTTTCGGGATTCAGACCTTGACGCTGGGGTGGGTGCCGGGGACCTTCAGGCATAAGCCATCGGTGGCGTTCGGCATTGTCAATATAAGGGTGCTGGGGACCTTCAGGCGTAAGCCATCGGTGGCGATCAGCATTGTCGAGAGAAAAGAGCCGGGGACCTTCAGGCATGAGCCATCGGTGGCGTTCGGCATTGTCGAAAGAGGAATTTAGGTGTCGGATCATGCGCTCTTGATATATGAGACTGACCCGGCGTCAAGCCTCCGCAGTGGATCCTTTCCAAAGGCCTCGAGATACTCGTATTCTACTTCGAACCGAGAATTACTCGAGAGGTTGACGTAGCTCCGTCTCTTCAACGCATCGAAACCTGGAGCCATTTTGGCTACCGGGTTGATCGTGGAGTTAGCCATATCTTGATGGTTCTCAACCATCATAAAGAACTTTCTTTGATGTTCTCGACCGCCCTGTCTCTTCTCCTCAACTGTGTGGCCGTTGAAGGTGGTAAGCAGCCGGAAACTAACGATCATGGTGCCATTTCGTCTCTCCTTTCCCAGGACGACTATAGGGTGATTTTCAAAGCCGCTCTGATTCTTGTGCCCCCTAATGATGGAGGAGTCTGGGATTGTCTCCGGGGTCAGGTAGACGATATCCCCTTCCATCAGCTCATCAGGTGGTGGTAGTCCTGCCTGATTGCGGATGGGTCGAGGTGGTGACCCCGTCCTCCAGTTGGACGAAGAGGAAGAGGATTCTGATGATGATCGGCTTCGCGAATCATCTGATGGCGACCGCCATGATGGCGTAGTGGAGCGTGTGGTGGGAGGAGAAGGGGAAGTCGGAGGAGAGGTCCTGTTTGGTTGCCTCCAATCTTGCAAGAATCTGGATTCCTGGTTTTTGGCGCCGGCAGTGTATGTCTTCATCATCATGATGACGGTGGTGTGATGGGAAATGATGAGTTGTGGTGAGGGCGTACTGCGGCCTTCAAATGACAGTGGAATGATGGGTAATGATGGTAAAGATCAGGAAGCTTTTGGTATTTGGGATGGCTCGATCTGATGATGATGATACGAAAGAGAAAGAGAGGGGAGAGGGAACAACCTTTTAAAGAGGGAGTCCCAGACTGTTTGGAAAGAAAGAGATGGTACTGCTTTCCAATACCAGAGGGCTTCCATGTTACCTCCATGAACGAAACTTCCTACTCCACTACGATACGATTGGAGACCCAACGACATGGAGGAAAAATATGCTGGGCACACGCACAAGAGAGTCCAAAGATGAAAATGGCTCTGGTCTGACACTGGTCAGAACTCAATGATGGACTTATGATTGACGAGGAGCACCAGCGTTGAGCCTATCACAGCTGAACCGATTACGGCACAACAGTAGGGTACGGGAAGGTACCTATGTATAGCAGTCAGGAGGACACTTCCGCGCCCATCAACAGTGGAACGGAACCAGCTTCACGGACAGGATAAGCAAACGGTTGCATCGCGGACAAGTCACAACACAGGTTTCCTGGAAGTCGAGACCTGCGAGACGCACTCAATGTGCAGGAGCCGCTCCGCGAGCGGATTTGTAACCCAATGCCTGCCATAAGCACCGGAACATGACTTCCGAGAGAACTCTATCGAGGAAGAGAAGGAGCGAGATGAAATCACGAAGAAGGCACAAGGTCACAACACTCTGGGATGCGTGAACGGCGGACCTCGAGATAGGCAAATTTGCACAACCAAACTTGCCAGCAGCCATTATGAATCACAGCACCACTGGAATGAGGTCCTGGCGTCGAGTTGAATATCCTTCGTACCCTACCAGCTCGTCGCAACATTTCGAGAAAGCGGGTTCACATGTCATGATCGAATCGCAGGGTCGCGGGACTACACCCCGAAAAACCTACAGACCTATCGAATTCATTTATGAGCTAGTTGATGGAACTGTGGTCGTCTATTGTATGACGATGGGGGTTATCAAGATGCTAGAGCGGATTGATACGCGAACGCACAATTCGAATATACTACATCTGATAACGGTGGCTGTGCGAGGAAAGCACTAGCGGTTCGTTGTTGGATACCCAATGGACGTTAGTTCTACCAAAGGCATCTTTACTCGCGCGCAGCCATTTGCACCTCCCCCAAATATTAAGCCAATGTTTACGATGAGTTCGGTGTCGGCGCTAAGCGGAACGGCGCAAATGCGATTTCCCTGCTGCAGACTTCCGTGATTCCCTCTCCAGGATCAAAAAGTAAGAGATAGCACTGCGCGAGAGATGCGCATTTGATGGGGATCTTCCGCCTAAGGACAACAGAGCTGATCCGAGTGCAGTAATATGCGTGTGCAGTTGCGTTCGCACTCGTGATTCAACCTCACTAGACCAAAAGGACGGCCATCAACAAACCTCTAAGCGCCGACTATGAAACATCTATCGAGCCTGGAGGTTTACTAAAGCAGTATTTGCAGATTCGAATGCCACCAACGCGACCGGCGTTATGCCAGTCTTGCTTTTGGCGGGTTTATATGGGTGCGCATGTGATGCGCGCATGGTGTTGCCGAATGAGAGAAATCGCAAGTATAATATACTGTTGCTGTCACTGAGATTGCACACCCACTCGAAGTCCAACGCGAATGTGCGGCGGAATGCTCGGAACTATATCGTCACTAATTATAATGCTAGTGTACATCGCAACGCGCACAGGGTATCCTACAGGCACGAGGACCTGCTAAGGGCGCTGGAGTTAAGAGAAGCGAATGGATTTGCCGAACTTCTAGGCTTCTCTGAGCGCAGGTCGGCGGTAGTCGTAGAGCTGATGACCGCATGGAAGGCGCCACAGAACCGGAAAGACGTACTTTAAGAAAGCGATGTGGTTGTTTGGCTAAAATGCAGGGTAATTCACATGAAGTTTCCTTTTGGGGGATAGCGAAAATCATGTACTCTGTGCAAACGCGTATGAACAATACTTGATTGTCTACTTCTCCGTGTTCTTTTTTACACATCTGTTACCTAGGTATTATATTCTGCGCGTATACTCTACTATGCTTAGAGCTACAGATCTGTACATGTAGCTATCTATGTTTGAATTCATGCTTTACTGTATATACAGCGTATCTCTAACATGTAGATTAAAAAACTATCTGCGGACTAGAAAAAGGCTAGGTAGAGTAGTTGCTGTTAAGTGAAGATAACAAGGCTTATACGCAGGAGCTTGTTAGCACCGTAAAGCGCACACAGAAACGCAACGTTATTTATTGTTCTATAGTCTACTCAATCATAGCGCAGTCTTGCAGCTCGTATGCTACGAGCTTGTCAAAAAAAAAGCATTAACTCCTTGTAAACTCGAGTTGTCTAAAAGAGCAAAAAGAGAAGATATTGACAGAAGTGGGATCTATACTACTATTAGTGTCTGACGAAACGTCTTAATTGTTGGGAACGTACTCGAACCCACGCAGATTGCTCTACTAGCACCTGAAGCTAGCGCCTTAGACCGCTCGGCCATTCTGCCGGAAAGATACGGGTTGTATCTGATGTATGACTAAGCCAAAAAAATGACGGTTTATATTAGCAGTAAAGATAATCCATGTAGAGAGTTTGGGTATGGATAATTGGAGTCTCCAGTAGCATCATGCTTGAAATGAGGTTCCATGGCGCAAGATATGACTCAAAGGAAGGTGGGGGGTTGAGGCGGGGCACGTAGCCAGCGGTTCACACACATCTACTTTCTCTGTTTAGTACCCACAGCAGAAAGCGGCTTCGTGAAACGCCTGATAGCATGAACTCGGTAGCAATGCGCGCATTATCTGGGTCCTAACATATGACCATGCAGTTAGGTAATGGCTATTGTTAGAGAAAGTGGTGGAAATTGTTCATGGTGGCCGTATAACCGCGCCCCCCGGATATCGGGCATCGTTCGCTGTGGTCTAGAATCGCTACTACTGAGTTCAACGCTTCCGGGTAAAATTGCAGTGGGGGAATAGCCTACGTGGATTGTTGTTGTGGCTTGCTGGGTAGATCGGGGTTGCTTTCATCCTTTAATGTCGAAACTTTAGTAAGATTCGAAGCATCGCATGCTGCATGTGCACTAAGTAGGAGTAACGCACAAGGAAAGTGACTTTGAGTAGCACGATGTGCAACATTCTTCCCGTTTATGCAATTACGCCTCTATTCCATTTTCGATAAACAGCCCAATGTTTCACATCTATTCCATATCTGCAGACCATCTCCCTCGCACCATGTATCATTCTCCCATTTACAAAGCAGCGACCATCAAACCAGCAACAACAGCGGCAAGGCCGAACTCGACTTTGCCAGCAGCACCGGTGGCCTCGGGGAGACCGCCAGAGCCAGTCGCGCTGCCAGAGGGCTTGGGTCCTCCAGTGGCAGCGGGGACAGTGCCGTTGCTGCTTCCTTGTCCGTTCGAGCCGGTAGGGTACATAGAGACGAGGGTAGAGCCAGAGGTGCCGGTGGGCTTGTGGGATGAACCGGTAGCAGTCTTTGAGCCGGAGGCGGAGGAGATGGCAGTTGCTATTACAGGTCCTGTCAGCATGCGATCATGGAAAGTAGAGTTTGCTGTGCTTGATCTTCTCGTCCGGTGTGTAACAGCGCATCCGCTGCAAAAGGCTGTACTTACAAACATCAACATCCACGTCGTTGCAAATGTCCGCGATCGCCTCCATGGCAGCCTCGGCGTCGTTGCCGCAAAGCTCCGCCACCTTTGAGCTCAGGTCCTTGGACTTGCAGACAGCCTTGATGTCGGACGGGTCCTCGTACTGGTTGACAGCACCGAGGAGGCAGCCAGGGGGGCTAGCCATGGCGAACTGAGCGAGCGCGAAGAAGGTCGCGGCGAAAACGGTACGTCCGAGCATAGTTGCGGTTGAAGTGGGAGTGTTGGTTGGTTGAAAAGGTGGATGGAGATGTGGTAGAAACGGCGACTTTGTATTAACGATAGTGTAGTCTAAAGAGTGACTGTAAGAGACCGGTTCTAAAAGAATGACTGTACAACGAAGACTGTTGATGGAGAGAGAAAGAAGAGCAGAGCGGCTCTATGAGTCTCGACCTGATCCCCAAGGCAAGGGGCTCGGCACACGCGGACGCTTGCCAAGCTTAGCGACGCTTGCCCCAGAAGGGGTGCGCTAAAACACTAGTCAGGAACAGCAAGAATAGAAACACGTGCGTGATTGGACGGGTTCCTGCATCTTGTGGCAGTGCTAGAAACGTGGTACGCGTTGTTTCGAATCGCGTGGGCGATAACAGAGTTTCGAGGGATAAGAACTTTCTAAGGGATGACTTTTGTTCAGCATTCCATGCTGTAGTAAACTTTGTCCATTAGTTGGATTCTTTCTTCCACTGCTCATGTTATGCTTAATGCAATAATATACAAAAGAATCTCGCCGCTTCCTAGCCATTTGCTGCCAAAACATCTTGCATGTGGCAGGTAAAAACCAATAGAATATGCCAATCTGGGGCGAGAGGGCAGGAAACGCATTACAAAGGTATACTCGCATAAAGACCAAATGCTTCTCTTGCGCCGCCCAGTATACAGCCGAGAGAGAATACGCACTGAGTCGGAATCCAAATCGATCCGCGCAAAAAGCATTTCCAAACCACCCCATGTAATGCAAGATGGTTTCGGAGATGACATTCTATCCTTCCATCAGATATCCAATCTGAGAAACAAGCACCGGCCAGCGGACTATCGAGGTCCACTCGCAATGCCGTGGTGCGCCGAAAACTCCGTCGCTAGGTATGTTACATGTAGTACAATGATGAGACGGAAAGATGTGAGGTTGTGACGAAGGAGGGAGAGGCATGGAGGTCGGGTTCGTCGTTATAGAGAGCGTAATATTTTGGTGTAGAGATCATGAGGTATGGATTTGTGGCGGGCTGTTGCCGTTAGGCCCGAGCATGGATGGAATGGGCTTGCGGCGGGCTTTGCCTTGAGGGACGCGTGGCACGCCTTGAATGACACGCGGTTCTTTCATGAGTGTGGGATCGAGCTTCGCGGGGACTGCGATTCTGTTAGCAGTGTCTGGCTGAGGGAGTGTAGATGACATACTTCGGCTGATCACAGAGCGATAGTCACCCGGGAAGCGAGAATTCGGTGGAGTCGCAGACGCAGTGCGCCAAAGATGGTCCGTTGTGTCGGACAAGAAGTCGACCTTGGACTTGTAAAAGAATGAAGATTTTCCGCGATTTCGCTTTGCCAGGATGACTTCATCAAAAAGTTTGATGGTAGGATCATCTGCAGACTTGCTCTCGCGCTCATGGATGAATTCGTTGAAAGCTACTGTAGGTTAGTGTGTGATTCAGAAACTGTAGTAGCAATACTGACCTTGTGTCTGCTGCAGCGTTTCGATATACTGCACATTTTCGGCTGGCAGGCTCTTCACAAATTCATCCATCTTGAATTGGTAGGTCATACCAGACTTCTTGCGCTCGCCACTAGCCGGTACAAGATAGCGTCTGTACGTGTAGAACAGGCTAGCGAAGCATCGTACAAACGATGCGCGCACCTGATCAGGTCGAAATGCTGTGGGGCAGACAATGCAGATCAAGTCGACGCACCTACCATGGGCGTATGTGCTACATCCTACACATTGTTAGAAAAGTAAGTTGCACTAAGCGGATCTGAAACTCACCGGTGCAACGATACAACCCGTCATCAGACTTTTCCTCGCATATTGAACACATGGCTTTGTCCTCATTCGGTCTCCACTGCAAGCAATGACCTTCTTGCCATTGTGTTGTTGCAGTGTTGCGCACTTGATGCGTAGCCATACCAGGCATGATAGTGGATGCAGCCAAAGTTGACTGTGCATACACTGATGGCGCATACGAGGACCCCGCCTTGTATTCATGGCTCAGAGACGATGTTGATGCGCTCGGTGCATGGCCAAGGAACGGCTGAGAGGGGCGCCGGATTTGAGGGACACGTTCGAAACCAAACTAGCCACATTAGTCAATGAGCTATCACAGTGTACAGAGTAGAGCAAACTTACCGATGAACTTCGCCGACTTGAGGTCTCAAAGTGAGCGGATCGTTTCTCACGCAGATTGGCCTGGAGTGCGTAGCCAGAATCGCTACGCGAGATGGGAGTACTGGGCATGGGTGGGAAGACTGTCGATACAGGAGAAACCTTGGGCGAAGGCGGAGATTGGTATGTCTTTATGGTAGTCGCTGTGGAAGGACGGTCGTTTCCACGACTGGACGCACTTGACTGTAAGAAGGCGTTGTAGATTAGAGGTCTGGAGCTTGGTGATCCGACCATTGTCCCAAAAGACGTCGAGTTCAGCCCGACGTAGTTCTGGACAGTCGAAGGATGTGCTCTGTACGAGAATACCCCAGGATTCTCGGAGGCGAAAGTGTCGTATGGGAAGGCTTCTACCGCATAAGCAGGAGGGCCAGTAGGTACACCGTAGCGCATATGATGCGGTGCAGATTGTTGAAGGAGAGACATGAGTTTCCGTCGCTGTTGGCGTGGTAGTGGTGGTGGTGGTGGACCGTTCGAGACTATTGAATCAGCATCCAGGTCGACGAGCACATAGTCGTCGTCGGGGTAATCGGCGGGCTCGTAACGACGCTCGATTCCTACGATGTATGGGCATGGCGCTTCTATCGTCTGCACCAGACGAGCAGGCAAGACTGGAATGAAGACACCAGCCCACTGGAAGGGATACAGCAGGTTCGTTATCGCCATACTGGCCAGATGCAGCATAGCCGTGTGTGAGGAGAGGAGAATGATCCTAGCTTCCGAGAGCACATACTCGAATAGCGTAATGATGTTGGGGATGGACATGCATCGGAACAGGGCATAGATGTCGATGTTCCGGGATCCAGGCAGCTCATTGACTGCCTCTTTGCGAGCGTACATGCGAAGCTCACGGACTGCCAGTTCAACCTGCGTGATGGAGGTAATCGGACTAAGAGCCTCTGCACAGAGATTGACCACGTACCGCTCGAGCGGCTGCCACATGCCAACTCGCGGTGAGCTGGCGGGGACTCGCAGGATTGCGCCAGTAGTCATGGGGACAACAACGGCCTTGAGCCACTCTTTCCAGAAAGGCGTCAAACTCGCATCTCGACCCATTACACCATAAGCACGGGGGATCCAGAGTCCGGTCTCTCCATCAGTCAGTCCCTCGATCTTGGAGGCGGCACCGTGCCTTACGGGACGAAGTAAGTCGGTCATGAGTTGAATCTTCTCTTCAACGGCGCCGATCTGGTCGTCCAAGTCGTCACGCTCTTCCGAGTCAGGGGCCACGGACGGAAGCTTAGTCAGTAGTTGCGATAGTTTTGCGCGCTCCAATGCCAGGCGCTCGCCCAAACTGCTTGCCAGCTCGCGCTCCTCTGGATTCATGTGCAAGTTTCGCCATTCCTCACATTGGCGCTCGAGGCCCTCTGCAGCGGTGGCGTTCAAAGGCAGCCAGACGATGATGGTGATGCCGTAAAGTTTGGAGCCATCTCCATTCGTCATGGCGAAACCATGCCATTGGCTCTTTGGGCGCTCGTCAGATGAGACGACACTAACATCATTAGGAAATGCAAACATAGGCACGTAGTCGGGAAAGGGATTGCGCCTCTTGAGTTCCTCGACCATGTTCCGTGGCGGGTAACGATCTAGGAGAACAGGCTCGTAGCGACGTAGCAGAGGATGCATGTCCGGCTCCGGGTTGAAGGGCTGCGGTGCCGGTATGACGGAATTGTACCCGGACATGCGCTTCGACGTTCGGATTGAGGCTGCATGCACGTCAGTATGCGTCGATCAAAAAGTAAATAACCCATGTCAAAGCCAGAGGCCAGGGCCCAGCCCTGCACAGATCCTGGTCGGACATGGTGTGCAATGCAACTTACATTGTCTTGCGGTCGACGACTGGCGCTTCAGACTGCTCTGCATTGTGGAGATGCGCCGTCGAATGCTGCCAACGCCGGACCTGAGGTTGCCGACGCCATCGTCATTGTTAGCTTGTGACACGCGCTGTGGCCTGGGTCGCGGCCTCGTGGGGGTGGAGCGGGCCTGTTGCGCAACACCAGCAGTAAACTGAATTTCCTCGAGAAAGGTATCACGCTCGGAAGCGAACTTGCGCAGTGCAATGTCAAAGTCCTGGTCGCTGAGGCCGGAGCCGCCAAGCTGTACGCCCTTGATGGTGGCGCTGCTCCGATTGCTCGCAGTCTGCTTGGGATCTGGGCCAATGATGGTGCAATTGGACTGGCGGTTCTCGCTGAACCGATTCGCAGAGCGCCGGCGCGTGGAGTCGCCGTTGGAGAGGCCATCCTGGGAGGTTGGGCGGATCGAATCGGTCTCGAGGGCGCGGTCCTCTTCGATGGTCTCATCGACCGGGGGCTGGGCGAGCGGGGAGGTGACTATGCCATTGCTCTGGGTGCGCTCGTCGTAGACCTGCGACGACTCGATGCCGGAGATGAAGAAATAGTCGGCGAGCGGGGTGGACGACTGCTCGGCGGTGGACGAGGGAGCGGGCGCCATGTTAGATGGTGGGCATAGGATATCCAAAAAGATGGGCGATTAAAGAGCGTCGTGGGGTTGCGCGGTCACGGCGTGTGGGACGTCGAGTCGCCTTGTACTCTAGGTCATTGGAGACTGGGGGTCCGCAGCAACGGGTGGTGGTGAGGCTTATGCACGGGAAGGGCAGAGCGAGTGCGACGGTGACTGAGGGCGCGGTTGCACGGGGGCGGGTGGGCGGCGCTGCGTGTAGACAGTGGACGGTAGACAGTAGACAGTAGACAGCGAGGGTGCTCGGTGGTGTCGCGACGGCGGTTTGCGGGCGAAAAGAGTGAATGGGGAGAGGGTTGGCGGAGAAGGGTTCAGTGCGCTGCGCTCGGTCACAGGCCAATTCATAGGGACAGACT